TTTTCCATGGACTCCCTTATCTTCTCTGTTTCTCTCCCCTTCTGCCTGGTACTTTTTCTCCTCCTGTCCATTCGCTGAGTAAGCAGGTGGCTAGCAGGTCAACACTGGAAATATCTTGAAAGCAGTCTGTTCTCAAGCCATTTTACTAGAAAGGCAGGGAAAAGAATGAGTATTTTCACTACACTCCGGTGTGATCTATTTTCATCGGACTCCAGGGGGAAGTTCTGATTCTAACAGGAGCGATTTGTCTCCCTCAGAACCCGTTCCTTGGGGAACATGTGGTGAAAGCTAACGACAGCTGGAATCCAGCCGTGTTTTTATTAAGCTGCTTTCACGCACACGACAAGATCACTTGTAGAAAAGCTCAAGATAATGCATAATATTAATAGATTTTCATTTACAAGTTACACAAAAAAGAAGCCAATATGTCAACTGCCAAACCTTTCCTTTGCAAAAATCCCAATGGCTGGCACATTACATTTAACATCTGCCAGTCCACAAGTATGAGGCATTAATGTTAGGACATTGAAGCTAAACCATTATCTTGGTTACAGGCACTGGAGAGACAATTTAATTTAGCTCACGCCTCTGTATTCAGCAGGGGTTTGTGCTACAACTTGGTAAGACTGAGACATGGGGAGAAAACCCAAGGTGCTTCCCAGTGATCGTCTCTGTGAAAGGGAAGAGAATGGCAAGGCCAAAGGCAACATGAACAAATAAGGAATGTATTAAGACAGCAGCTTTCCAGCCCCATGGGACACAACAGCGTCTCCAACTAATCAGAGCGTGGAAACTCTACAAAATTAGTGCATGGATACTGATGGGGCTTGGTCCTGAGAGCAAGTCATAAGAAATCCAGATCTCATCATAGATACAGCTGCTAGCCTCCTATGCACAGTCTGTGTGGGGGTTATTCAGTAAGCTTCTTTACAAAAATATGCTGACTTGATGTAAAACAGACCCTCCAGAGCATGGGCTTAGCATCAAATTCTGTCTTTGGATGCACAGATACGTACGAGCCCCAGGGCTGGGATCAGATGAAACACTCATGCTGACACTTCCTAGGCTCGAATGCCAAGGCTGGAGGCAGGACATTTGCAGCGAGAGGTCCCTGCCTGTGGAACTTGCCCCCTCCCACTGTCTGCCAGAGCCCATTAGTGACCTTTGCAGCCCGCAAAGCATGCATTTAAGATTGGGTGTCTAACTCTGGGTCATTACCAGGATGATTTCTCCACTGGCAAGCTGGGCTGTGCAAGGCAAAGGCAAAGGCTTCTGTGCTCCCCACCCTGAATAGCTGAATGTAACATGTTGCTTTACTTCTAGAGCCCAGACACAGAGGTGATGCATGCAGGTGAGTCATTTTGGTAAAGTGCAGCTGGCCAAATACTTGCCTTCTCAGTAAATACTGGGTTTCCTGAGAGCTCTGTGAGGTGCAAGAATTCGAGGTGCAGGGTACCAAACTCTGCTAAGATGCTGCTTCCTGCAGATGCCCAGCCCCAGCTCCAGCTCATGCCACTGCAAAGGATGGAAGAGGAAATCTTTGTTACCAAGTAAATAGCTGGTTTCTCTGTCTGATAAAGGCAAAGCTCTTGTCCCCACTGTGCATTTGCTGTATGCACGAAGCCCATTCCTGACATCCAAGGACTGAAACATTGTACCCTTGACTGACAGGGATCAATGACATTTGCAGGTTCTCAGGGATCATTTGGGCTGAACAATTACACCCTCAGCAAAAAGGATTAGCAGTAAGCCCAAAGCAAAGTAGCAGGTGAGGTGTTCTGGCCTGTGGGTGTCCAGGCTATCAAAGGCAAAGTCAAACAGGAGTCTTTTGCACACAGACACTAAGTGAACCTGCTTCACAAAGTGCATGTGATGGGGGAGACAGCAGAGCTAAGCCCTGCACTGCGCAGCTGGTTCCTCTCCAAAAGACACTGGATGAGAATCCCACCTTCCAGCCTCCCAGGTCACCAAGAGGGCCAAGAGCTTTCTGAGGGCTTGGAACCATCTCTAAGCTGACATGAATACAGCACCTTGGATCCCAATATGCTTTATACATATCCACGTTTAAACCCTTGAGATGCAGACACCTGTGGCTGGCTAGGGAAGCAACCACATTTGTGCCCAGCACAGCACCAAGAGTGAGGAGGGGGTTAATTTCCACACCTGACTGCTGGAAAAAGCATGAGAACAAGGTTCTAGTGCGAGATCCCCCAGCCCTGCTGGTGCTCCTCTGGTCTGTCCTGCAAGCACAGGAAGGGAGAATCTCCAGAGACATTATATTGAGCTCCATTTCTCACTTGTGGTGGATCCGTTTTCAGACCCACTGCTCCGCTTTGCTCTCCTTCTCCTCCTGCTCTACACAAATTCCACCTGGGGTGGGGAAAGGTCTCTCCACAAGGCAGCATGTGTAAACAGGGAGCAAATTCAGATGGTAAGGATAGTGGGTACCCACAGAGAAGCCAGTCTTACAAAGACTCTGAATCTGATCAAAGGGTGAGAAGGGCAGCAGGCTCTTCAAACAGATCACATGCTCTCACCTGCCTTCCACTTGCATTTGATTTTCCACAGGGCTGTTCCCATCTCCCAACCCACTGCTACAGATCACGGCTGTCTGCTGAGAGTCCATCTCTCTGAAAGCCATGCAGACAGGAAAGTGACCTTTATCTTTATGGCTTGATTCCAAAATAGCCTCTGCAGTTGCTGGTCCAGGGAGACTCAGAGGTCCTCTTTTTGGCAGTGATGCAAGCTTGATTTCCAGATCTCTTGATTACCAGGATTTTCAGTGGAAATTGCCAATGTTACGCATTTCTGACCCTTCCCTTTTTGGGGTAAGCAGGTGGGGCGGGAAGAAACACTAGAGGGCGCCTGAAAGCTTCTATACTAGGAAAAATAGGGATATCTATTTACAAAAGGCTAAAACTAAATGATCTTTCCCCAGAAAAATGTTTCCCTTTGAGGAAAATGCAGAAAGCATTTGCAGGTGCAGAATTACTTCCAACTCCAGACAGGAGCAGCAAGCCTCTCCCTGCAAGGTACGTCCCTCCACATTATCTAAGGGGGTAGAAGACTCTTCTGTCTTTGTCCCAAACTCTTGGGTAGTGTTGCTGCATGCAGCTACATCAGGGAATGCAGCTAGGATTGTTGTCTGTGGAATCCCATCATCCCCGTCTGGTTAAAAAGGGCTTGCATGCCTTCTCACTGTGGTTAAAGGGCTGCAGCACTTCCATACCACAAATGGAAGGAGGCACTGACTGATCTAAGTTCTCCTAGGTTTACGAGCCCCCATTTCCATTTTCTTTAGCTGCCACAGTGAAAGGACGTGAAAATAAATAAATAAATATTATCTCGTGCCCAGGAATCCCCCTGAAAGCTGCTTCAGACAGGATGTGTTTGAGTGAAGCAAGCACAGCTGAAGACTGTGCTCACTATAACAGCGGTGTTCCAGGCTGATTGGAGCTGAAACAAATTGCCCTGAGACTCCCCAGCTCAGATGCTGCAGACAGGGTGTTGGCTGGGAGGCTGCAAAGGGCTGGTCCGCAGAGGGGGCAAGGACCACTGGGAAAAACTGAAGTAGTACCTACATAACTGGTAACCTAAAGGGGCCCCTCTACATGGCAACAGCCTGCACCTTCCCCAGCTCTCAGCAGTCAAGGCCAGCCTGACGTGGCACTGGTCAGGAGGGATGGTCTAGCAATAGAGCACAAGCAGAGCCGGTCTCCACCTCTCTCCTAACCTTTGCTCAAACACTCCCCCTAGGAGGATGTTCCCCAAGACAAAGGAAGGTGTGCAGGACGAACCCAATTCCTAAAGGAGCTTTAACCATGATCCAAAGTGACTCAATAGCTTGGAGAAGTAGACAGCACTTTGCAAACCTAGGCTACAGTATGACTGCACCTGATCCATGTAGGAAAGAAAACAGGATCCATGTAGGAAAGAAACTACCAGGCAGAAAGCGAGGTTGATTTGGATTCAAGTAGTTCCCTAGGTTAGCAGGATGAAGGACATCCCTCTGCCCTGGGCCTGGTTGGCTTTTTGGGCATCAGCAGATCTGCATAGTGAAATCCCATAGAAGTAGGACGAACAGAATTGCAAGCCTGGGCTCAAAACCTTCCTCAGCTTCTGCTTCATGCTGACAGGGGGCTTATCCTGGTGTTTAGATTAAATGCCCCTTTGCTTAGTGTCACCCCACAGGTTCCAGCAATTTCTCCATCAACTGTACCCTGAGCTCCACTTTTCTTTGCAATACATGCCTCCTACATAAGTGCAGGCTGTTCAACATAGCCAAGCTATGTACACCATCCTAAGACTCAGTGATCCCAGCCTCCCCATCAGCTTCATCGCCTCTCTAAGAGCCCAAGCCAGTAACCCTCCAAACAGTCTCCATTTTTCTCCCTGTTAGCCAAGACCCTCAGCAAAACATTTTGGGATGTCTGGGTGGAGACAGACTGCTGCGTTGAGTGTCTCTGCAAAGGGGAGAGCAAGACCTGGCAGTTCTGCAACAGGTAAGTTTGTGCTGAGGCTTCATCTTTGAGCAAAGGGACAGCGTCATTTCTGGAGAGGAAACAGCTAAAGGTGATGGACAGGCTCTCAATTTTCACTGAGACAACTGAAGGGTGACCGTGATATCCCAGTGATGGATCAATCCAAGTGACACAATCAACAGAACCCTGCAGTTGGTGAGAAAAATGGACCGAGTGGGAGATTTGGGAGTAACAGGTGAATTAAGATGTTCACAGCAGCTGCTCTACATGTTGGGAGAAGTAAAAATGAAAGGCTTGTGTTAACCTGTATTCAATGCTCTCTGTGCTCCTGCCAACCTGCAGCTGGTACCCAAGAGTTTATTTGTGAGCATTAAAATAAACAAAGACGACCTTATTGGCAGCCAATTAAAACCAGAGGCTGGGAGTGAAGGCTTCAGGATTGTACTTTCATCTCTTCACCCACTATGGAATGTACTGTCTCAGTCTCCCCCTTTTATCTAAGAATGTTCCCTACCTCACAAGCAAAGTGAATTTAAATCTATCGCCAGATCTAGTGCAGGCAGGGAGATCACACAGATGCTGGGGATCCTCTCACCCATCTAGATGAGACCCCGACAGTTAGGCACGTAAAATGCATTTCTCAGCTGCCCTGCATGGACCTAGGTGCTGCATCGTGCACTCCACCAGTCACATTGCAAAACTGCAAGTACAGATCAAAGATGACTATCTACACCAACATACAAACATCACAAAGGAAACCATGAGCAGGAAAGCACTCCTCCAGCGTGAAGCTCGACTAAGAGGTTGGGAAGGAAACATGAACTAGCAAAAAACTGATAAAACCCAGCTGGATTTAACTTGAGTCACCTCTGCCTACTCCCAAGGTACATCTAGGAGCACGGGTTGGCAAAATGAATGTTCTCTGAGAATCTGGATGCAAGATCTAACAGAGGCAAAATGCCCCTAAGGAACAGCTGTTACCGACTGCGTTCCTTGACAGACATTCAGTGAATAAATACCACGCTCTCCAAATGACAGCAGAAATAATGATATATGTCTTACCTGCCCAGATTTATGACACCTCGTGGGATCCCAGTAGGGGTGTTGAAGGCTGGTAAGAGCTTCTCTCCAAGTTCTAGAGCTTTACTCTTGAACATCTATTTACAGGAAAGAAAAGGAGAAGTAAAATGTATCCTGTATGGCTTGCTAGCATCAGCGAGGCTGGCTTTCTTCAGACTCACTTTTCTATACACACACTACTACAGAATGTGCACAATGGCTCATTACAAGGCTATCACTTCAATGAGTGAAGGTCGGGGTCTAGGCCTATTATCTGGGATGGACCTGACCAAATGGTTATGGGAAGTATTAATCTGGATCAGAATTTTTTGGATAGCCCCTGGAAACGTAGACTCCAACATTGTGATCCCAGCATCCTCAGACTCTGGATTTGGATCAGCTAAACCAGAGCTGCAAAGCTCCTTCAGAATCAATCTCTCTTTGTTGCCAAATTAAATGTTTGGATTTTTAACTTCCCAGAGTCCCAGGCTACTGAGTTGAACCTTTCTGGTTCAGTATGAACTGATCTTGCAGAGTGTCCCATGGAGGGAAAAGGCCCCCTTCCCCTTTTTTAGAACTTTTCCTGGGAAGGCCAAAGATGCTGAGAAGTAGTAACAGAAATCAAATTTAAAGGAGCTCTTTCAAAGACAAAATACAGCAGGATGGATAAAGCAGGCTGTTCCCAGCCCAGGTCATTCCTCATTTCAATTAGATCTGCTTTCTATGTACATGCAACCCATCTCCAGGAAAGACTCATGGAATTATCAACTTTTTTCATTCCTAATACCAAAGTCAGGGCTTTCAAATCGAAGTATGGCTCCTGGCAGCTTGCAGCACAAAGCAACCATATATAATTATTGTAGGACAAACCGATAGCAGCAGTAATCTGTGCTTGAGAGATTAGACCCGATTAGGGGAAGCCAGTAAGTGACTTAGCACAAGCCTTTTACCTCTAACCTCCCCATTTCAATTCAAGCTGTCACAATAGTCACATAGAAGCAGGAAATTGAGCACTGAAGAGCCCAAGGTTTCACAGGGGTCTGGATCCAAATGGGAAGCCAGGAGAAAGTCATTAGGTTCTATGACCTGACAGACACTGACCTGCCTGCAGCCTCAAGTTAACACTGCTCAGGCTTTGGGAGCTAGCTGGCTGCCCATCTGAAGCCAAAGGAAGCTGTGTACATAAGAAACCAGAGGACTGGGCACTGGGCCTGAGAGAGCTTTCCCAGAAGGAAAAATCACAAGAGGAACACTTTCCTGTAACTCATACAAAATGCAGCCTTAATAACACAGCTTTTCCCAAGGCTCCACAAATCAATGGCACCACTTTGCAAAGATGAGCCATCATTTCCCAGTAGAGCAGACAATTCTCTGCAGCAAACAGCAACCTACAACAGCCCAAGAGGTTAGTGTAGGGTAACGTATGTTCATGCTAGATCCTGCAGTTCTTATGCCAGCAAAACTCCCATTGAGGTCAGGGGGACCAGACCCTTGGTATGCCTCCAATAGCCAAGGCAAATAAATAATCTCTTGATCTCCCTCCATCTACTTGTAAAATTCCAGCACAACTATATTACAAGGAAGATTATGGCATGAAGCCCAGGCCTCTGTTGGAGAGGGGGATGGGGAATAGGGAACTGTGTTTGCAGTGGGAGCCTTCTGACTCCACTGGAATTTGCTGTGGGCATCTTGCCCAGGGGACTGGTTGCTGTCACCATCTGAAAGGATGGAGAGTTTAGGTCACCACTGCTGGCTCTGTGGGCATGAGTTAGGGTGCTCACTTTTGCCTGAATCCTTGCTTCTGGGGAGAAAGGCTTTTTGCACCCTGAATGATGAAAGCCCCAAGTTACCCCATTGCTTTATCAGTGCAAAATTCTGCTACAGCAAAAAGCCTAATAAGACAGGCAGTTCAGGACTGTTAGTACAGCAGATCGCACTGGCACATCAACCTGCTGCCCAGGAAGGCACTTGGAAAGAGCCCAAAGTCTGTGCTGTTTCCTCTGCTTGGGGTGCAAAGTGATAACCGCAGAGGGGAAGACAAAGGAAAGCAGCATTTTACTGACCAACATACCAAGCTGCTGAAATGGTCCAGTGGAGTAATGATTTTGTTTTTCCAGAGGAGACAGGCACGGCATGTGCAAGCTAATTATGCGAAACAATTAAAAGAACACTGGTGACATTTCAATAATCATAAAAAGGTTCAGGTTAGGCTGCTGTTAAAAAAGGATTATTTTAAACTCAATGGGGAGCTGCTGGGAGCCACCATCCATCCAGAAACAGCCTACTAGAGCCACAATGCTTGCAATCACACAAGGGCTGTGGGGCTTCTGGAAACAAACCTCTTCTCCAGTTAGGTAGTAGGCAGCCAGCAGACCTCCGACATAGCGGATGTTCACTTCAAACAAGGACGCCTCTCCATTCTGCAAAGAACACCAGCACGTGTTAGCTGGCAGGTACAAGTCACATCACATAGTGGGTGCATTGCCGGGGGGCAGGGAGGAAGTGGGGGCAATGAGAAGGGTTTGCAGAGTTTTCTCGGCATGCTCAAAACCCTGCGATCCTTGTTCACAGCTTAATACTGCTCTGCCTTCTTAGGGGGTCTTCCACCTGGGATCTTAAAGCAGTCCACACGCATCAAGGCTCACACCACAGGGAGGTAATGTAAGGGGATATAAAGGGGATTTTCCTACTAGTGAAATGCTTCCACAGTAGCTGCCTAATGACACAGCAACGTTAAACAACAGCCTAAGATGGAGTGTGAGCAAAAAGATTTTCTTCATTTGAAGAGGGAGGGGGAATTCAGGCTGGCAGAAAATAGCTGGAATCCAAAAAGGACACTGGAGTTGACACTCTTACTCCTTTAAGAAGCGCCAAGATACTGAGCTGCAGTCTGTTACTAATGCCCAAAGGGGACCAAAGGGTGGTCCCCTTCTGCACGCAGCCTTCCCACACCATAGCAAAGTGCTGGGTCGGTATCGACGCTGTGGGGATGATGCTACCTGCCAAATCACCAAGCCAGCCTCCAGTATTAGCCACATAGAGGCCTCCTAGTTCAGGCCTTAATCACCTCCTCCCCCTAGACTGAGAGCTCCACAGTACGAAGCAAATATGCAGCTGCCTGCATGTTCACCAAGACAAACAAATGTCCATGCTCTGCTAGAAGCCAGCCAATGCATACGGATGCAGTTTGCTAGTCCGATGAGGAAGGCACTCACCTGGAACTAGTTAAGACCAATTCTTGTCCTACTCCTCATCAGCAAATGTCAAAGCAATTGCTTTCAAACCGTGGTTTTTTTTTAAATGTATTCCAGACCTGGAAGGCTGCATGGCAAAACGATTCCTCCCCCCGAGACAACACATGGAACCATGAAAAAACAGGAGGATCAAATGGCAGCATGGCAATGTCAGTGAGTGGACTCCTTTAACCCCAAATATCATCTGTTCCTCCCCACCAACACAGTGGGTCACAAATGAGAATTCACGTCTCCTCAAGATGAGGGCTGAGATAGAGCTTGACACCCCAGGATGGGAAATGAGCAGAGGTAGCAGTTAAAAATCATGTCCAAGTTTCAATTAGGACAGTAAGCAACAATATGGTGAAGGGAGAAGGAAGGAGACCTTCCTTGCAACTTGGAGGAGGGAAGTGAAGCAACTCAGGTCTGGAAACAACATAAATGTCTACAATTAAAACCTAGCACGGCATTTTCTGGGTGCCAGTTCTAAAACTATAATGGACCAAGACCTGTGGGTGCTGCTGTCCACACCATCTGCAGTTGGGAAATGCAGTCTCAGACAAGGCCCAGTTTTGCTCCCAGACTCTGCCGTGTTCTCTTTTAAGCTAAATCCAGGATTTCTGTCCCTCTGCCTCACTGTGCCATACTCTTCCTCGCGGAACTGCATTAACCACATCATCCACGGTCTGCCTCAGCTGTTGCACCTGCTCTCCCCATCCCCTCTAGCATAAATCCAGAGAGCTGATCTACAAAGAATCTGAGGGGACACATTTCCCTGCTGCTAGTATGAGGCAGTCCCTATGTTTATGAAAAAGTCCTGGTAAGAACAGCAATTTTTCAGTTCATGCTGAAGACAGTGAGGTGTGGGGTGGCTGGGACTGTGAGCCACTGAGCATACACAGTCTCCAGCATCCTCACTGCTTGAAACTCCAATCCTGTCCCACAAAAAAAAGCACTTTTGGAAAGATCCAGCCTTCTGCAGGGATGGGAAGAGACATCCTTCAGCAGATTTGGGTCTAGCCCTCTGTGACCTGCAACCAGACCTCAATCTTTCCACTGCCCTTTGAAGTAAGCAAAGCACTGAAACAAAGTGCTCTTGTCAGCTGCTGCTGGAGCCTCCTGTTTGCTTTCCAGTTTCTCCCAATCCTAGCAAATTCTTTCAAAACCCCACCACTTCTGAAGAGATGCCCGGCTTCCTGATCACTCATCTCTGAAGCCTCATGCTGGAGAGTCCCTCTCCATCCAAAGCCTCCAACCCGCCATTTCCTGACAATCTGAACTGCTTGTCACAAAGCCAATTTTTAATTAATTTCAATCCTTTTCTCTCTGCACTGCGCGTTTGGACTCCAGCAATCAATCTATTTATTGCATTCATTCCAGTCTTTGCAGATCAATCTATTGTGTGGGATGGGATTAAAAGCCTTTATGAAATCCAGATAAATTATCTCCCCGTCGACTTTGTCCCTTGTTTATCGACTCAGCAACATTCTTAAAGCATTCAATGGCATGTATCAGATGGGATCTTCCTTTTATGACTATATGCCAACCAGCCCTTCCCCAATGATACTTTTCTATAAAGGCAGCTGTGTGCATTGTTCAAATGGGGAGAGCTATTTTTCACTGTGGATTAACTAGGGCAGGCATAAGAAAATCAAAGTTTTAATGGCATTTTGAGTGTAACGGCCTGCATATGCCATTGCACCACACTGCAATTCCACCAGCTCTTGCAAGTAAGGAGCAACTCAGCATCTGGATGGCAGGGGATCCTGGGGAAGCAGTGCTGTCTGCTGGTCTCCCTCAGAGTTGATTTCTATCTGACACTTCTGCATTGTTATTTTGATGGAGTGGGAAATGGGCTGTGGGTCTGGAGGTTGGAGAGATCGGATTGTCCCTTCAGGCCTACAAATGTGGCTCCTCCTTCCTCACACTCTCTTCCTTCTTTCACAGATGTTTTTAGCAGAAAGCCTCATGGTCAAAACCTCATGCCAAAGGGTGGTCCAGGCACCCCCACAGCCCAGACAGCTGTTTCCAATTACTGACTCACCACATTCAAGTCAAAGCTCTTCTCCACCCACTTTTTCGCTTCTTGGAATTCCTCCTCGAGCTCCATGATGTACAGGGTGTCTAAGGCATCTATCACCGTCGCCCCTCGGAGGCCTCCTGCATTGGCAAACAGAACAACGTGATTCGCTTTTACATCAGCTTCCCCGTTAGTTTCAACAGAGGGGGACACCCATTGTGACAATTCCCCTCTGCCACTTCTCTTCCCAATATAACCGCAAGGCTTCAAATATATGCCATGGGGCTTTTGGAGGAAAGTTCTTACTTTGGCCCAGTTCATTCCTCTCTGACAACTTTTACATTAGCTATTTTAAACAAAAATAGGTTCAGGGCATACACTTTTGTGGCAAATCAGAATGGATCTGATGGGTTCATCTTGGGACTGAACATTTCAAAAGACCTCTTAGTCCCTGTTATTCTTCTACTTTGCACAGGAAGTGCCTACACAGAAGCTGTCATAGGAAGCTGGATCCAGGTATACTTTGGGGAGGAGGGGAAAATATGAAACATGGTGAACTGTTAGCAAGATCTGAGTTCTTGGCCCTTCTTTATTAAAAACCAAAACCAAAGTCCCCATGACATATAATATACCAGCATTCCTGAAAAGCAGCCTTTTGGATCAGGCCCCTTTTCTGTTTTAAACTCTTGCCTTTTCCCTTAAGGCATCCTGGCCAATTCTGCTGATGTTATAGGATCAGTTTTGACACTTCTCAAGCAGTCAGCACATCACTGCTTTAATAAAAACCCAAACTAGAGTTTTATTGCACACCTCAATATTGCTGGCTTTTAGATGCTGTCTGCATCAAAAACCAGGGGGAAGTAAAAGTAGGGGGAGGAAAGGGAAGCTATGGAGTCAATCACTGGAAATTCATTCATTCATTCCGACAGAGTTGGGAATGATCATCTACCCAGCGCTATCTACAAAAGTGCTGTAGATGGAGTCAAGCAGCCACGAGATCTCCAAGCTGGTTCGAAAAGAAATGCTGACGGCTATGCAGCATATTTACAAAATGCAGCGACCATGAAAAACAACATCAGCTCAGTCAGAGTGGTTTTTATCAACTCTAATGATTCTTCAATATTAACGATGATGTGATTTTTATGCGCTTTCTTATTAGGGGGAAGAAATGCACCAGCACTGAACAACATGGATGTAAGCAAAACACTTCAAGGGGGGAAAAAAACCAAGAAAAAAACCCAAAACATTGCCCAAGGCAGAGCCTATTACTGTGATATTCTGAGAGAAACACATAAATGGGTTTGTTTTAATTTGCAGATATAGTCCACACAGCCTTTCATAATCTGCAAAGAGACCATTAAAGAAAAGTTGGATCTGCTCACAGGAATTGAGGACAGAGACAATAAACTCCACTCCCTGGGATGATTAACTGAAAAGAAAATATCATCAGAATTTACGAAGCCTTTTACATTTTCAGCAAGCAAGGGCTTTAAACACATGAAGTGCATCAGGGGATTAGAAACATGATCAGCTCTTTCTGGCAAGATGATTCAGAGATGCTCTGCTTTCCTCCCCTGTATTTTACACAACAGAGGGTGCGCTTCATTGATGGTTTGTCCTTTGTACCATAGGAAGCTGTTGTTTTAAATATTCCTTAAATGCTGGGCTCTCTCAAGAGCCATAGGGCTCCATGTTCTGAACAATCATCTTTTGGATGATTCCTTTCTTCTGTGCCAGCTTTGAAGCCACCTAACAAAGCTCATTGCAAATAAATGAAATGATAGGCACCAAGGAAATTGTAGTAGTCTCAAAGCAATGATTAAACAAGTTTCCGTATGCAACAAATCTATGCCTGTCCAGGTCTCCAGTTATCTCTCTGCCTTACACAGGGGCCTCAAGAAACTTCAGGAAAGGTCCCATATCCTGCTGTTCTGACCATGTAGTTCTTTGCCGCTATCAGCAACAAGGGAGTCTTCATCAACAATCAGATCTATGGGACTTAGGACACACGGTTGAATGGTGAGGACATGAAGAAGGTGGTTTTCCAGACACACCTGCTCTTTTGTTACAATATACTAGCACATTTCTAAAGGTGAAACTTGGCTGATGCAGCATGAGACCCTGAGAGACAGTTAAACATTTACTCTTACAGAAGTATACATGCAATCTGAGAGAAGTAGCTCCAACAGGAAAAGAAATCAAAATCCTATCCTGTCAGTCTTTTTATACTTGCTGTCACTCCCCTCTTTAAATTACTGGTTTTACCCTCTCTTTGTTATGGGATGTATAACTGAAAAACAAAAGAATCCCCAGAAGAAACCCTTCAGGAAAAACAGACATGGGAACTATCAGTTTTACAGCAAGAAATTCCCTCCTCAACACAGATTATTACTCACACTGACTAGCTCATTGAGGGCTGAGCCATGGGGCTTTTATTTAAGTTGAGATCAGGGTCCAGCAATCCTTAAAAGAAGATGAACTACTGCTACAGCACCAGCTACAAGTATGGAAGGGAGGTATTCAAGCAACTTGCCTTCCACCCTCACTCAAAAATTGTTTCATACAAGAGCTTGTTCCACTTCCAAGCAGAGTAAAGGCAAGATGTTTTGGGGTCTGCTAGCTTCTCTCTCCAGCAAGAGACTTTGAGCCATCCCCACAGATGGCCATGGACTATGGTTTAAACCAGCAGTAGGTGAGTTTACAGTGTCCAAAACTGCTGCTGACTGGGAAACATTTATTTTCTATTATACACGTGCCGTAGGCATAGGCAGTGACCAGCCACTGTATTCAGGTCCTTGCAGTGGTCCACTTAGCAACCAAGAGCTGAAAAAGTAACTCCAGCTTTTTGACAAAGTTCCTGATCCACCACAGAAATGCAGCCAGCTGTAGGGGTGAAACGTGACCGTGCCTCTATGCCGCACGGCAAAGTCGCATGCATGAAACTTCGGACAGGAATGAAGAACACCACTTCCAAGTGAAACAAGGGGCAGGCAAAAGTTCTGGCTAGGGAGGACTTCAGCCAGGATCCTTGAGTGAATGCTTAGCTCGCTAAAGACGCCATGGCAACTTTTGTGACTGTAAGTAGCAGGGCCTCTGCTTTCAGTTCCTTTGGAGAGAAAACAAACAACAAGCCCCGAGAAGTAGCCTACAGTAGTAATACAACCATTCAAATCCCTGGCTCCCTGCTTCTAAGGGAACCTTGTACCACCCAGCCCTAAGCCTCAAGTGCATTTATTCCTTTGTACAGGAGAAGAATGGAGACATCCAGGAAGACAACAAGGCTGCTCTGTTCTTAATTCCCCCATCCGCTCTCGCTAGCACCATGCTAACGAATCTGAACAGTCATTAACGCGACGGTTGTGAAAGGTGCTGAACGGACAGCTCTGAAAACAAGGTGACGGCTGTACAGCGAGATGGCAAAGATCCTGCCCTTCCCAGGGGGACTATGCCTCACAGCCAGCCGGTGGGGACAATGGCTAGAGGCAAGTGTGGAATCGAGCCTCTACAGCTGGTCAGTCTGTCTAATGAGATCAGGGTCTTTGTGAAGACTATGGGAGACCCCATCTCTGAAGACACCAGGACAAAGCAGAGCCCTGGCGAGCGATACGGCGAAGACCATCCTTGCGCTGGCAAGAGCTTGTAGGCTGCGTTCCCCGCGCTTTCCATGGCTGGCCTCTCTCATGAGGCTGTCAAGAGCCATGTGATGGTTTATAAGATAAAGCAGGTAGCCAAGGGCTCACTAGGAGGTTTAGCTCCTGTTCATTGGCCAGATGGGGACTACTTTGAAGACGCATGTCAAACTGCGCATCCAAAGGCACTGACAAGTAAATAAGTCTGACACATAATGACAGCATTCAATTCCTCCGTAACCACAGATGAGGGGGCTGTGGGAACCCCATGATCAATTCATGTTGATCCTGACAGGGGAGGATAACAACATCTGAACATAACGGGACTGAGTAATAAGTGAGCAGTGCAGCCGCTGGTTCATTTTTAGGCCAACACAGAGATTTGCATTGATTATATTAAAGATGAACCCATGGACTTAGGCCAATCAGCAACAGATGTGTGGTCCTCACCACAGGATGAATGATGATAATTAAGGGGGAAATGAGAAGAAGAAAAACAGGCTCCATTCACCCAAGTGAAGTATAAAGGGAACACAGAAGTAGCAGCTGGGATTGCCTGGTACCGCCACACGCTTCTGCCATCGCTACGTGGCTGTGGCCATGCTCTTGTTTGGGGTCTCAGCGGCGAATGGGAAAGCAAGTGGCAGACAATGTAGCATTATTCACAATGTACAGTTCAAGGAGAGGCCCCCGGGGCTGCGGGAATGTATAGAATGGGCATGCCACCACCTGCCAGGAGTGCTAGGGCTAATTAGAGCTTGAAAAGTGCTTTGAAGATATAAAGTGCCACCCAGGGACTAAGCATAGCTATGGCAACAATCGCAACTGTGACGGCATCTGCAAACCTCCTGTTAGCGGCCCATCATTTGCAAATACAACCCACCAATTTAAACAAAAGTGGGTAGGCCTTGCCCTCCAGCCTCCCGTTTGAGCCTCTAGCAGAGTAATAAGAGTTTACAAGCTCAGTCGCTGCAGCTTTTTTAAGCCCAAGATTCATGCATGAAATTCATCTGGAGTGAACGCAGGCTGATCTGCACCTGCTTCGGTTTATAATCAGGGTCTAGCCAGGAGTCACAAGGTGCTATCACAACCTACATGGTGCTAGGACCGTGCTACGATATGTTCAGACAGCGTTCACATGTGCTGACTGGGTGCCCCACTTACACAGGGCCTCAAGGGCAGAGTTAATGTTCTTAAAAGTAGGGCAGTTTGGGTAAAAATTCTTTCCTTTGTTCAATAAAAGAATCTCTTTTCCAACGAATGGAGACAGTATCTCAGGCCTAGCTCTCTTGTGGTCTCTGTGGGAGCTGCAGGTAGCAAGAGCATCACGTACAGAAGCTGCATGTCTTTAGAAGGCTGCAGGCCTATTATCTGGAGCCAAAGCCAGTGGCCTTCAGTTTCAGTGAGACAGGGTGGCCAAGCAGAGCACTTACCCCTGACATCCTATATTCAGACATCAGCCAAAAAAAAAATTATGAATGCCAGGTAGATTTCTCTTTGGGGCTTCTCAG